ATGGGAATGTGCCCCTTCCTAAGAAGGATGGTTTAGTCATTGTCCACTTGCGCTTTGATTGTCACCTTGCAGTGATGACCAGAATGTTTGTCTCTCTCTAGCGTACTCCTTTCTCCTAGGTCCTAAATAGCCAGCTGTCGTCCTTTCTTGGGTCATGTTAGGGTAAAGAGAACAGTCACCTCAGCTATTACTGATTTTCCTGTAATTATTACTATAAATAACTATGAAGATTCCAGTGTTTGTCCATTCTGCATGACCAAGGTCCACAGGCCGCATCCCAGCCTCTCATGACATACGGTAGGGACTCAGGACAGCGAAGGTGGTGATGTGTGAGGGGCTTCTAGATTTTCAAAGAGGTAGCAAGCTGTCTTGTGCATTTCTCCACAACCTTGAATTTGGTAGAAGCCTCACTTAGTTTCCTATCACTCTATATAAGAAGAGGGGTCACATCTTGCCACCTCAGTACTGGCCTGGAGAAGTGGAGGCCACAAATATTGCACTGAAATCCCGATAGAGGAGGAAAAACAGCCCACATTTGACCTATGAGTTGGAACCACTCTCAGGACAGGTGGCTTCGCTCTTGATTTTCTAGTTTCCGTGCATATTTTCTGGGCTTCTTTGCCTACAACCATTTAAGATAACCAACTCCTGGGAATGGGACAAACTGGTTTCCGACCACATTGCTCAGTTAAAATGTATTAATAGGGAAGTAGCTTTTGGACTTCTTGTTTTCAGCCAACGATGGGCAGAGGGGACATTTAGACCGTGTGCCGGCTCAGCTGGTGATACTGCGTTACTACCCGAGTACTGAGGAGCGGTTATTTTTAGCTGTCACCTGAACAAACAGTGTTGGGCTTGTTGACCTGAGTCCCGCCCCTTCTTAAATCCACAAACTCTGTCAATTCCCAGAGCCACTCTGGTTAGTAACTAAGGAAGGCCTTGCTTACCACACCTGCATGGGTGACTGAATCTTGTTCAAAGGTTGCAGATAATTTCATCTTCCTCCATTTAGCTCCTTTCTTTTATAGCAAAATCACTTTTACAAATTGAAAGAAAAAAAATTTTTTTTGATTCCAGACCCCATTTTATGTGCACATAGTTACAATTTGGGGTACAGCCAGTGACTGTACAGTACAGTGAGTGCAAACACTCTCTGTGCCAGGCTGCCGGCTGTGAGCCGTAACTTTGCTTGTGGTTTGCTTGTGGTTTACTCGGCATGCTTTCTCCTTAGAGAAGCCCCTGAGAATTGACTTCGAGCTGCAGCAGGAAGCCAGGGTATAAAGATGGATTGGGTGCACATTAACTGTCCATGTTTGGGTATCAGGATTGTCAGTTTACCTTCTCAAACAATATAGGCCTTTTTGTTTCCTTTTGAGAGTTACTAGGAAAGTGCTGAATCATCTTCAGATATTTAAGCCATGCAAACATAGTTTGTGCAATTGGAGAATTAATTTAGTTCAGTTAAGAAAGTGTGTTGTTCTCGTAGGAAAGCTTAAGATGCACTTGAGGCCTCTCTACGCCCATCCCCAGGACCTCTGTAAGAACATTAGCATTGGGGGTTTTCTTTGTGGACAAAACCCAAGGTAGGATGAAGGCATCGTGGGCCGCTGTCCGGGAGGCTGACCACGGCCACCAAAAGACAACCCCACGGGTGGCACAGCTTCCAAGCCGGGGGGTGTGGCTGGCGCCTGAGAGGGGCCCAGGCCGTTCCAGTTGGTTCTCATCTCCGTCTGAGGAGTCACAGACATGTTTTTCAATTAGGAAGAAGTAAAAAATAGAAACGTTTGGGTCTGTTGTGGGAGAAATTTCAAAATGTAGTAGCTACTTGCCGCCACAAGTAGCAGGAATACGACAGCCAAAAACAGAATTCGTGACTTGGGTCTCACTGCTCATTTCTCCAGCCACATGAGAGAGCGTCCAGTGAAAAGTGCCAGCCGGTCATGGTTGGCTTAGGGAGCCCTTCCACTGAGTCAGGGTGACCAAAGTCGATGACTCATGTCTAATTATAAGCCAGGTGGCTGATTTCAAATGAATCAGGTATAAAAAGGTCTTTGTGGTACAGTTTTGAAGTTTTTGTTTTGTTTTGAAAGCAGAATCTCTCTGTGTAACTGGCCTTGAACCCATTATGTAGCCCAGGCTGGCCTCAAACTATTTCCTGCAGCAGCCTCCCCAGTGCTGGGGTGACGGACATCACTCCCACACCCAACTTTAGTTTTGCATTTTTAGGCGAAGCTCCTCTGGCTTGGGCTAGCAGTGACCCTTGATCTAGCAGTGGAGACCACGCGCTACCTACCAGAGGACACTTCAGCCACAGTTAGTGGCGCTGAATTTTCTTATGTTAATTATCATTAGCCAACTTTTTGCAAATGCAACATTTTACTCCTCAAAATTTACCATTAGGATAGACACTTAGAAAACTGGATTTAGTTAGAAGCAGGATAGGTTAAAACTATAGAGTTGAGCGTTAAAAGTAGGACAAAATATTAATGATGCACACTTTGCCCCCTACGTAGTTAGCTCTGACTTTATAGATTTCTTCTACTTGCGGTCTGATTACTGTTCAGGAAAGGAATTTCTGCTAAGAAAATGTCTATCATAAAGGCAAGCCAAATAGCTCAGTGGATTAAAGTGCCTGCAAGCAGGCTCAGGAGCTGGGAGTTCAATCTTGGGGCTGCCATGCCAGCCCCACCCCCGGGGCACACTGAGATGGCAATTAAGACTGGGTGTGGTGGCGCATGCCTATAATACCAGCTCTTGGGAGGCTGTAAACAGGCAGATCACTATGAGTCCGATCTAGTAGTGAGACCCTGAACAGACCCTGTAAACCTTTCCCTAAAATACAAAAGGAAGAAAGAAAGAAAGAAAGAAAGAAAGAAAGAAAGAAAGAAAGAAAGAAAGAAAGAAAGAAGAAAATGTCTATCATAGTATGCCAAGGGTCCCAAGCACAGAATTCAACATCTAAAAGCCACACACAGTAAACCATGATTTGTTATGTTTTCATTCCATTATTAAACTTTCAAAGAAAGTCTTATAGATACGTTTCAAAATGCCATGCTAACAGGACTCACACAAAGAAAACTGGGAACGTTTTCAAAGAAATGAAAAGTTCCAGATGATAGAAAGCCAAGTGCTGCTTGGATAGGAACAATAAATGCTGGGAGAGTGCTGACTCTGCCCACCTTTGTCTATAGATTCAATGTAATCACAGGAAAAATCTTAGCAAAATGATACACATTTGAAGTCGATTAGTAGAGGGCAGCTGGGCCACTAGGTGCTGGCATAAGCCAGCGGCTTGCAGGAGTCTAAGCGGCATTGGGCCAGCTCACCAACTGGCAACTTCGCATCGTAACTGTGCCAGAGCAAATTCTGGGTGAGTCAGCTATATAGTGTTTAAAAAGTGAAATTACAGGGGCTGGGGAGGTAGCTTAGCTGTCCAGGTACCTGCCTGGCAAGCGATCCCCAGAACTGTGCGCCACACCAGCCCAGGAACCCTGGGTGTGGGGAGGCTGAGACAGGAGGGTTACTGTGAGTCCCAGCTGCATAGCATGACCCTGTATCAAGAACAACCAAAAAATTTTTTTTTAATTTTTTTAAAAAGTGAAATTATAAAAAGTAAACTAAGAGTTGGTATAGGTGGCTATGTATTGAATTTGAAGATTGAGCAACACAAAAGCTTCAACAAAAACAAAAGAGGGATTTTAGAATTTCTCTGTATTAAAATATGCCATTAAACAAATTTAGAAACCAGACGAAAAAGCTTACAACAATTACTCACAAAAATACTAAGATTATGATTCTCTATAGACCACTTTTACAAACTGATGAAAAAAGAATTTTGGTATCTTATGCGACTGACTTTTGCAACTACTAACTGAAAAATTTTAATCATGTAAAAATTGATGATGGCTAGCACCAGTTTTATAGTTTTTGAGTCCTCAAGCGTTACGCCGAGTGCTCTTTATATGTCACCTGCTTAATGTACACAGAGACTTGGAGAAATAGGTGCTATTTTTCCACACACAGACGAACTTAGCAATTGACTCAGACTTTCCTAGTGAGGATTTGCAGTACAGCTAGACATCGGAGAGCGAGGACTGGACACCAGCTAGGTCGGCCGTAGAACCTGAACCTCGCTTGCTACCGTTTCAGTATGAGAATCGGAAGAGCAGGCTACAACACCATGCATTTGATCCTAGTTTGTAAAAACATGCTAATATGTGTATGGACAACTTAATTTGTGTGTCCAACTGTATATAATTACATGCCAGAAAAGACAAATCGCATTTTGATCTTTTTCTAGTAGTGCTTACTTCCCTCTATTGGGATTTCAGTAAGTGTTGTTTGAAACTGAAGATGTCTGGATTGTGCAAATTTTGCATTCTATTGAAGTAGCACTTGGATGATGAAGAAGGTTTAAATATGGCGTATTTCCAGTGTGACTGCTTGCCATATGCGGGTCCTATTTCCGTGCAGCTCTGAAGGAGCAGTCACAGCTTAAGCTCCCACCTGCCCTCCTGAGGTGGACATAGCAAGCACACAGCTGAAGAATGTGGGAGCCAGAGGAAGCTCTGAAATGAGCTATCTTGTTTCTCAGATAGGAAGCCTGAAGCTAGAATAGAGTTGGCTGATTAGCTACGATTTGTTGACCCACAGGCTGGCTTTAGATGCAGTCCTGGGACTTCAGAGTGTTGCTCCAGGAGGCCCTGCTCTCCAGAGGGTGGGACCTGGGGCCGGCCCTGCGACCTCTGTGACACCGCTCGGGAGTGGAGAGGTGACTGAAGCAGACTGCGTCAGCACGTGCTTCAGCTGTGGCGACGGGGTTGGAATATTGTCCTGGCCCTCTGGAGGTCACTGCGGGACCCTCACGGGATCTCAGTGACCTCCAGCTAGGGAAGGCAGTGCAGAAACAGGGAGAAGTCACACCTGGAGGGAGCGTTCGCCAGAAACAAGCCTGCAGTCAGACTGTCTAACACAGAAAACCGCTGTTGTCTTCCTTCCAGCTCCAGGGCCCACGACGGCAGTGTCTTACATGTCCGTGAAATGTGTGGACGTCCGCAAGAACCACCATAAGGCCAAGTGGCTGGTGCCATGGGGACCCAACCACTGCGACAAGATCCGGGACATTGAGGAAGCCATCCCGAGGGAAATCGAAGCCAATGACATCGTGTTCTCCGTGCATATTCCCCTTCCCAACATGGAGATGAGCCCCTGGTTCCAGTTTATGCTCTTCATCCTGCAGCTGGACATCGCCTTCAAGCTCAACAACCAGATCCGTAAGTGGGAGCCCCCAGAATTTCCTCACTCTGGTGATGGCTTACTGTTTACTGAGCACTTTCTGAGGACTTGACCTATCTTAACCCACAACCTTCCCAATAATCCCGGGAGGTAAGTCAATACTGTTTCACTTTATAGAGGAATCACATGGACACTGCTCAGGTTGTCCAAGATTGGACGATCAGAGCAGGTCCCTAAGTCATGATGTCGTCTTACAGTTCCCAAAGGGTGCTCACTCTGCACCAGGAGCCCCCCTGTTCTTCATTGCCTGCTTTCACTGGGCTTTGAGGAAGAGCTGCATCAAAGTCGGGGCCACCCAGGAGCCCTCCATGTTCCCACTAAACTGGGACGTTGTTCCAGCTTGCCTAGTTGCCCTTGAGAACCTCAAGGCATACGACTGACTATACATACTTTGAAGAGAAGAACTGAAGGGGGGAACCTCTTGGCAGAGGCTCGGGTCACCTAGGGACAGCACTGGGAATCTGAGGTTGAAACAGAATCAGGAATGTGAAGGACAGAGTAGACAGTGTTAAAGGCAGCACCTGGCTGTGGACTGACAATCTCTTCCCACATCTATCCTTCCCACATCTACAGTCATGATGATGCATGACTATATCCAGTCTTCTGTGTTCAAGAAGTGGAGGAGTCTGGGTGTATGCCTCACCTCTTGCCTGGAATGAGCAGACTGTGCCGAGATGATTTTCTAAAACGTAAAATTTTTCTTTCTTCTATCCAAGCCACAATTTCAAATGGTCCGAGTGCCTGATGACTTAAGTGTAGGTGGAGAGGCTGTTCTTAAGCGCTTGCAGTCAAGTGGAAATGATGGCTAAGGACCAACCGTGACAGCATGGTATAGCAGATGTTGTGACCAAGGAATTCTGGGAGGTGATGGGAATGTAAGAAAAGGAATTCTGGGAGGCCATGGGAGTGCGGGGAAAGGAAGCCAGGATTGACAGGCGTGTTGGTGGGAGGGGGATATGTTCAATATAAATACAAAGGAAGAAAGAATTGTCCTGGCTTCTGGTTTCAAAGCTTTTAGGCCGAGGATATTTCGTTTCCAGGGCTGTGGGCCTGAGGTGAGAAGAAAGCTCCCGACCGAAAGGCCTGGTGGAGCAGAGCACTCACCTCACAGCAGCCAGGAAGCTGAAACTAACAGAGGAAGAGAGCTAGCGGGGAAAGGGTCAAGGACAGGACTCAGTCTCCAAGGTCACGCTTCCACGACCTATTCCCTTCAAATAGCCTCCACTTCCCACGTCTTCCCTGCCTCTGAGTAAGGCCATTAAATGTCAACTCATCAGTAGGTTAACGCACCGATGAAGCCAGAGTCTTCATGGTACTATCCATTCCCAAAAGTCCACCAGTGACCAAGCCTAAAACACCAAAAGCCCTTTGGGGAACATCTTGGAACCCAACCATAATGTGTACGTAGAGGTAAGCAGAGCAATAGCTGGGCTGAGCGTTAAGGAGGAAGATGCTTGGCCAAAATAATGGTGGTGATGGTGATGGGTGGGGGCTGAATTGAGAAGTAGGTGGAAGGAACATTCTAGAAGAAAATGGCTGCTGTGCAGGCTCAGATTCCCACAGCAGCCTGGACCGTGCAGTGATGTTTCTGACCTCCCATCTCTTGCCTGCGGAGTTTGTTTGCTAGTTGGGAAACACATGTAGCCATTAAACTCCAGCCGTATGTTGAGCAAGAGGTACCAGAAAATAAGATTTACAAGATACGTTTTGTAAGGGATTAGGGAGCGGAGGCCTAGAAAAGAGATGCTTAAGCCTACAGATGCGCTTCACAAAGAGGAAGGCACAACATGAGCCATCTTTGGGGAGGAAAGAATTCCCCACACAATGGGTCTAACATGATTTTGCAAACCTTATGGTTTAGGTTTTAGCATCGGTAGTCCCAAGAATATAGTCAAGAAAAGGAGAGCGGAGGGCAAGAAGATAGGACACAGTCCCCAAAGTCAGGACATGGCAGATGGCCTGACATGAGTTTGGGTGAGAAGGTCGGGGTCACCCGTCCTGTCATCTGGGCTGGTAGCTTGAGGTTTAGCTCAGGTACAGTCTCTTCCATCAGTACTGCGTAGCTCCCAGGTGATGATTTATGTGATTGCTACCACTGGCAGAGTTAGGGCTGGCTAACAAGTTATCCTGAAATTAGCAGCTTGGAATCAATACGCAATGATCATCTCCCCACTTCTGCGGATCAGGAATAGGAGCACAACTTGGTCTGGGCATCTGTGGCTGCAGCGCAGCCGCGGTCCTGGCCCACCGGAGCATGAGAGGCCCTGTGGATGGGGGATCTATTTCAAGCTCAGCCACATTGCTGTCACCTGTGGCAGACCCCTGTTCCTCCACACATAGGTGTCACCTCAAGGCCACCTCACAGCAGGGCAGCTGCCTTCCTGGGAATGGCTGTCCAGGCACCGGGGGAGGCACTTCCTGTCACTCCCACTATGTTCCCTTGCTTAGCAGCAGGCCTGTGTCCAGCCTCCCCTCCAGCTGGTGTCACCCTAAGACAAGGGTCCTCGGCTCCTTCCAAACCCTCTTGGACACTGCTCATCTGCAATGTCTTCTTCAAAGGAGCCCAGATCTTGTTTGAAATGTGTTCCCTGATTCATGTCCAGACCCAGAGGTAGGAGGGGAGGTCGCTTAGGAGAGCCGGCTCCAGAGGCCTGGGGAGATGGGTTTACATCGCCGCACCATCTCAACAATTCTGCAGTATGGAGAAAGCACCAGATCTCCTCTAAGCCAGTGTTTCCTCCTCAGCAAAACATAGAGCCCAATTCCCAGTGAGCAAAATCACCTGAAGGAACAAATTAGTTTAGAGAAAACTCTTACGGCATAAACACTATTTTAAAATCAAAAAATAAAGATAAAAGAAGCTGTTGCAGTCAGCCTTCCTGTCTTATTCCCATCCCTTATCCCCAGTCTTGCTGCTGCGTCTAGTCCAGGGCTAGGTCTCCATAGAGGAAGCTGCACTCGACTCTTCTCTGCTTTAGAGGAAGCTGCACTCGACTCTTCTCTGCCTCTTTCTTCAACACTGTGTGGCCTCTGGGTGCCGGGCAAGCGCTCTACCACTGAGCTGCAAACTGCAGCCCCCAAGGGGAACTGTTCCCTAGGACTCCTTGCCAGATTATCACTTCCCAGTGGGCAGATTATGTGTTCTGCTTGCATTTAATCCACAACTTTGTGCGTAAGAAGCTGTGGGTGAAAACATGCCCTGGATTACATTATGCTGCTGAGAAAAAGAACATAAATCAACCAACAGATTGAGAAGTGTGCTCTGCAGTGGGGTTTTGTTACTTAACATTTGAATAATGAATAATCCTGACATTCCCATTCTGGTCTCACACTGCTTGTATTGTCTCCGACGTCGTCGGCGGGAGCGCCAGGTGCCTCCACCTCCCCACAGCCCCCAGCCGAGACAGGGTGACCTTTCCAGTGCCCGCTGACCCTGGGGTGGCGATTGGAGGTGGGGTGCTGTTCACAGGTAGTAAGGAGAGAGCGGATTACTTTGCCATTCCGTCTCCTGCGCTGTACCAACCTGTAATCGTCAGAGGTTAGTAAGGTGCTGCGCAGTCCTTGGGGAGCTCGTGGTGACGTCAGATGTTGGTGATACATATCTAGAATTCAATCATACCACCAACTCTGGGAAAAGATTCTGAAGTATGTTCAGTGAACGTCTTTATACTGAAAATGTGTTCCTAAAGAAATTTTGCCGGAAATGTAAAATAATTTAAATACCTTTATCTACTTTCATTTTCACCAGCTTCCCAGACTGGTTTACATTTCTGTCCATCCTAAGTGTACTATTTTGGAATTCTTCCAGCTCATTCGAAATACATTCAAAGCTCAATATTTGCAATTGTTGGCTTTAGAAGTATAAACAAAATAAAGATAACTCTCAAATCTTGAGCACTTCTCTAACCAGGAACTAAGAAATAGTCATACAGATGTGTGGGGTTTCTTTTGTTGTTGTTTGTGCTGATTTTTTGTTGTTGTCATTTTTGTTTTGGGGGTTGAGACAGGGTCTCACTACACAGCTCAGGCTGCCCTTGAATTTACTATGTATCCCAGGCTGGCCTCAAACTCACAGCAGTCCTACCGCCTCAGCTTCTCAAGCGCTGGGATTACAGGCGTGTGCCACCATGCCTGACACATGTTATTTTGTGGGTGTGCCTATGTTGTGCTGGGGAACGAACCCAGGGTCTTCCCACTGAGTTATGTCTCCAGCCCTTTTCATTTTTATTTTGAGACAAGGTTGCATTAATTTGCCCAGGCTGGGTTTGAACTGAACTTGCAATCCTTCTGCCTCAACCTCCCGGAGCACTGGGATTGCAGGTGTGCCACACCACACGTGACCATACGTGTTGTCTTTGCCTCCCTTCAGTGCCTAGCGAGGGGGCTCTCACTGGAGGTCAAGCTCGTAGGACCACCCAGTGTTGCACTTTCTTCCTCCACAATGTGAGCTGAAGCAACCTCTTTTTTCTTAAATAAACTACTCAACCCTGGGTGTTTTGTTATAGTAACAGAAAATGGACCAAAACAACCTTTATCTAAAACAAACTTGCACAAGAGTTGCATATCTTAAAATTCACCCTCCATTCCCTTACAGCATGAAGCCCTGCGCTTAGTAGGAACACACTGAAAAGTTAACAAGGTAGGACAACTGTTAGCTCTACTGATAAATATATAAAATAACTGAAATGATGTTCAGAAAAACAAAACAGGAAACCAGATTAAATAAAATACTTGTCCCAATCAGCAGCTGTGGTTGGAGGGTGCTGATCTTTTCATAAGAAAGGACACACATTGGGTTGGTGGAAATATTTCTGCCCGTAAATTTAGCCTCCTTGTTTCTGACTGTGAACACCGACTAAGGCTGTGATCACGGGCGATGGGAAGGCCGTGCCCTGTCCTGGAGGTCCGGGCACACGCACAGGTCATCTTACGACAGCACGGAGCAGACACAGCTGGCCTAGATTTTCCTCTGGTTCTG